TAGCTTAGGGGAGGATATATATCTTGAAGTGATAAAAATGAAATTATACTGAAGAGAGGAGTTTGGGGATGGTATTGATTCAGCGTCCCTCAGGAGCCATAAAAGCATTAATTTGTTATCATGAAGTTTTCAAAGTATGACTTCTTAGGAAACTTTCCTTAGAAACTACTGTTTTGTTTAATTCAAATGTGTAAAGCCTGATGCCAATTCAAACTTGGTCATTGTTACAGCTGGAGCTTCAGAAGATGAAATGGAACCAAGGCATCAATTCTCTTCCAATCCAGGAAGACTATCCTCAGTCTCTGAATAAAGGGTTGCATGTGTTTCAGCTCTTTTGGCAGAAAGAAAAAAAAATCATATTCTATTGAGAAACACATTCTATTGTCCTTTCCAATAGAGCGCACATAGTGTTTTCTGAGTGTCCCTTCATGGGTGATGATTAAATAGGCCTGATGATACGATGGTCCTACCAAGATGTATTGACAGTCCTCATTTTCCTCACTACAGTTAGAAAGAGACTGAAGGACAATTGAGTAGCTTAGATAAAGTTTGTATTGTCTTCTAAGTTGAAACTATTTTGAGATGTTATCACAGAGAAAGGAATGTTTGTAGTTCTAAATAAATATTGCTTTGATCTGCTATGTTCTCATGTTCATTATTTCTCTTTTGATTAATGAAAAGATTATTCTGTTTTGTCTCTCATAGTGTCATTCTTCTCCATTGCATCCATATTTATCTTCCTAAATTGAGTCTGACTCCATTCCATATCTAGTTAAAACTCCTTCCTGTAACTGCTACTTTGTTCATTATACTACAGACTCTATATGACAACGTACAGGGTAGCACTGTTGCAAAGGTCTTTTACTCAAATCTTCTATAATTTAACTGTATTTCCTGACTCCCCAACACCTATTACTGTCTTTGGTGATCAATACATATACATAGAATAAGTGCTGCTTATTTCTACTTTCCTTTCATTCTTCAATTACCCTGTCTTCCATAAGGATTTTTTTACATGAATTAACAATATACTATCTTTGTCTTTTGTTCTTTTATCAATGTATACAACTACTGTAACAGGTATATTTTTGTTTGCATTTGCTTAGTGTTTTCTGTTTTTTTTTTCCATTCTTTTATGTACTGATATTAGAGTATTGTTCAACTCAACTCAATTGTATAATTTGCCCAGCATAGTGCCTTGAATGTAGGAAGTGTTCAGGCTTTAGAGAACACATTATTTTAGGAAGATAGAAACTTCAGTTCTGGGATTGTCACAGCACTGTATGATTTTACCTCTTAATCTAACCCTCTTGGGACACTGATCATCTTGAAAATTTTTCAGGAATTGGAGTTGTTTTCCCAGTAAATCTCCTCATACCAGAATAGTGTAGGCTTAGAGCCTTCTCTACTATGTGTGGTCCATCAATTCTATCACCTTTTATTTTATTTCATGTCCACAATACCCCCATTTTTCTTTCTTTTTGCAGAAATCAAATTATATGCCTCAGGATTATGATCAATTTCTTGCATGTAGCATTGCTTCACTCTCAACATTGCCCCACTTGGACAATACCAATCCTGGTTAATTTCAACATTCAACCTACCCCACACTTGCTTCTGGGCAGCTGAATGTGTTTGAAGACAATAGTTATGACTTCTCATGCTAATTTCATGATCGCCTAGCTTGAACCCCATCCAGAAAACCTTTATCTTTCCTTGGTTTAGTTATTCTGTATAGCCGGAAAAGATTATTTAATGTATTCTAATAACTCAGAGTTTTCCTTCATAGTTTTGGATTTTGCATTCTGTTGAATCATTTCCTTTGTTTTACGCAGTAAACATCTGTAATATTAGTGCCATAATATTTCTTTCAGTTCAAGATTCTTTCGGTTGAATAAGAATTTTCTTTTGGTTTGAGCTATCTCACTTTCTCTTTCCCAGGCTTTCCTATGGGTCAAGTCATAGTTCAATTGTTGGTTGGATGATAAAGGATAGTTACACTCACATCCCCCAGTGATTAGCAAGCTGAACGTTGGTGTGCATCAGTTCTCTTCTTCATAACCTCTTATCCTGCAGCAGGTCAAGGAGTACTTGTTCATAGGCTGGTTTCAGGGTTTCAAGTACTGCAGCAACAAACCAAAATTCATAAACTATTTCAAAGCTCTGCCTGTATCAAGTTTACTAATATCAAAATATACACATACCTACTCAACTCAAGAGCTGGAAAAATAAGCCTCATCTTTTGACAGGGTGGTATTAAACATCACATTGAAAAAAGCAGGGTATTCAATTAATTTAAATGGGCTATTTTGGTGTTTAATTGATCTAAACTTGCTATTTATTTGACAAAGGTATTCAATTGATTTAAATTTGTTATTTTGGTATTTAATCAATCTAAATTGACCCTGATTCATTTGCCAAAATGTCTATTTATTCTCCAGTGTTCTACAGTACTGTTCATTATAAATCATACATTTATGTATGTGGGTTTTTGTTTCTGGATTCTATTATTCTGCCAATTCATTTGTTTTGTACGTGTATGCCACAACTTTAATAGGTGAAGATATAGCATGAAATGTAATGTAAAACCCTAAAATGTTGTTCAAGATAGCCTGGATACTGCTTTTTAAATATATATTATAGTTTGAAAACAAAAACAAACAAAAAAACTAACAAACGATTCACAGAAATTTTTTTTCATGGGCCTGGTGATTAGGGTGGCTAGATCCGACATGGCTGGCAGCTTGGTTCAAGTCCTGAACGTGAGGACCTGAAAACATATTCAGATCATGTGTATGTTTGCCCAAAATCCTAAAAGGAGTGAGATGGAGGTGAAGGGATTGTTGTTTGATCATCCCCCTTGGGGGAAGGGGTGCTTTCTTGCTTTCCCTCTCTCTCAGGTGAATGCACACACCCTCTGACAACAATTTTAAAAAAAGAAAAAAAGGAAAAAAGTATTTATTTTATTGGATATATAGTTCACCTAGAAGTTATTTTTTAGTGTTGATTATTCCAACCCATATACCTTGTATACTTGTTTATATATTTTTAAAATACTATAAATCATTTTAATACTTTTATTATAAAGATCCGACACATCATTTATTAAATTTAGCTAGAAGTATGTGATGTTTTGTGATGCTATTGGGTCATCAGAATAATCATGACTTTTTTTTTAAGAGGGTTTTACCTTAGGGCATGTGCACCCACCAGAGAGACAGATAGACAGACACAGTGAGAAGGAAAGTAAGGAATCAGGCCTCAGGTGGGATGGCCACACCGCTATCCCTTATCCTCCATTCTCTTTCTGGGATCTTGGGCACACATGCATAGGCACCCAGCATGATTTTCAAGTCACTGGTCCAGGATCACACTGTGGTCAGCCATGTGGGAGTCCAGCGACAAAACTGCTACACCATCTTCAGTCCCCTATGACACATTTGCTATGTGTTTCTATGCAAAAACGCATCATGACTTTTCAAAAGACCCAATGCTTTAAAATACTTAATTTTTCAAAATTTTAGAATGAAGTTTTGTGTATTGACAAGTACACAGAGACAAACAAATAACCCTGATAAATTCACTTCTTAAATTATAATAGTTTATTCATAGATATTTATAGTTTTATATATGTAGAATCATACCATCTATGAATAACGATAGCTTTTTTTTTCTTTCCAACTCTTTTTGTCTTTCTTTTTTCTTTTTCTTATTCTGTGCACTGTATAGAACATCCAGTTTTAGGATAAAGAGAATGCTGATAATGATGTCCTTGTCTTGTTTCTGAGCCCAGGTGAAATATTTAAATATACACCAAAATATACATGCTTTTCTACCTTCTAGATGAGCACATTTTTTTTTATCAGATTAAGGGAGACAAGACCCCTTTTTGCTTAGTTTAAGAGATTTTTTTTTTGAGAGGTTTTCGCTATAGGGCGCGTGCACTCGCCAGACAGACAGAGAGAGACATAGAGACAGAAAGCGAGAAATCACTCCATCACCCCCCATGGGGGATGGTCATGCCACAATCCCTTCTTCATGACTTTTCAAAAGACCCAATGCTTTAAAATACTTAATTTTTCAAAATTTTAGAATGAAGTTTTGTGTATTGACAAGTACACAGAGACAAACAAATAACCCTGATAAATTCACTTCTTAAATTATAATAGTTTATTCATAGATATTTATAGTTTTATATATGTAGAATCATACCATCTATGAATAACGATAGCTTTTTTTTTCTTTCCAACTCTTTTTGTCTTTCTTTTTTCTTTTTCTTATTCTGTGCACTGTATAGAACATCCAGTTTTAGGATAAAGAGAATGCTGATAATGATGTCCTTGTCTTGTTTCTGAGCCCAGGTGAAATATTTAAATATACACCAAAATATACATGCTTTTCTACCTTCTAGATGAGCACATTTTTTTTTATCAGATTAAGGGAGACAAGACCCCTTTTTGCTTAGTTTAAGAGATTTTTTTTTTGAGAGGTTTTCGCTATAGGGCGCGTGCACTCGCCAGACAGACAGAGAGAGACATAGAGACAGAAAGCGAGAAATCACTCCATCACCCCCCATGGGGGATGGTCATGCCACAATCCCTTCTCCTCCATTCTCCTCTCGGGATCTTGGGCATGCATGCACACGCGCCCGGCGTGAGTTCTAAGTCACCGGGTCCGGGACGCGAACTGCAGTCGACTACGTGGGAGTCCAGTGACATAGCTATTATGTTAACTGCTGGTTCCCTTAGTTTAAGAGATTTTTAAAACTCATTCATAGGCATTAAATTTTATTAGTCTTCTCTACTGACTGAACTGTTCTTATTACCTTTTCACTCTGTTATATTTTATGTGCATATATAACACATATATGTGTTCATATTTATGTGTATATATGAAATAATTGATGATCACTTTTGGTTAAAACAATTTATTAATTTTGATGATAAATTTTCATCTTTTTATGCCCTATATGTTCATAATCTGTATGGGTTACCTCTTATTCAATGTATTTTAGCAAAAAGACTCTTCACCCGCTCCTGAATTTGCTTGGTCCTGATCCCATAAATGACTGGATTGAGGGCGGGGGGGATGACTACGTAGAGGTTAGCCAGTAGGATGTGGATATACTGGGGGATGCCATGACCAAAGCGATGAGTAAGGAAGGAGAAGAGAGCTGGGCCAAAGAAGGCTAAGATCACACAGATATGGGAGCTACAGGTATTGAGAGCCTTCAGGCGGGCATCTTGGGAAGGGAGGTGGAAGACAGTGTATAAAATCCTAGCATAGGAGATGATGATAAGAAGCACATCCAGAAACAAGATAGAAATATTCCCAAGGCCATAATATACATTGGTACTGATGCTGGCACAAGCCAGACGTGCCACTCCCATGTGCTCACAATAGGTGTGAGGGATGATTCTGTGTCCACAGAAAGGTAGCCTCAGGAGGAGGAAAATGATGGGTGCAATCATGCACAAGCTTCTTAGAATGACCACCATGGCAATTGCAACAATGGTTCTGTTAGTGAGGATCGTGCTATACCTGAGGGGGTTGCAAATAGCCACATAACGATCAAAGCCCATAGCAAGAAGTACGATGCTTTCCATGACAGTGAAAAAGTGGATAAAAAAGACTTGAGTCACACAGCACCCAAAGCACAGCTCCTGAAGCCTGAACCAGAAGATACCCAGCATCTTGGGGATGGTAGCAGTAGAGAGACTCAGGTCAATTGCTGACAGCATGGCCAGAAAGTAAAACATGGGCTGGTGGAGGCTACGATCAGTCCAGATCACAAACAGAATGATGAGATTTCCAACGAGAGCAACAAAATACACCATGCAGAAAGGAAAGCCAAGCCAGACTTGTACAGCTTCCAGTCCTGGAATCCCCAATAACAGGAATGAAGAGGGGTGTGGCTCGGTGACATTAGGAAAAGACATTCTTCTGCAGGCTGTTGGTGGCCATAGTTTTAGAAGTTGCTACCAGTTCCCACTGAGCAACTCATCCAGACTTAACTGATCTACAAAAATTAAAAATATAATCTTTAAGTTAAAGATTGATACTAGGAATATGTTTCCCAAAAAGCCTTGGATCCTCCCTTCTTTCAGCTCTTCATAAATAACCCTAATCTTCCTCCTTACCTGTACCATAATGCCAACTAGAAGCTAACATTATGGGTCTCCTGAAATTATGGATTTAGAGCAAGTAAATATACTTCTCTCTTCCTGAAGTAGACACTATGAAAAAAAATAATAGCATTTGTAATAAAAATTCCAACTCAATAATAATAGCTATTGTTAACTCATTAGCTACTGTATTTCAGACATTGTGCCCACAATTATTCTGATATAGTCTCTGCTTTATTTTTTTTCCACATTCCATGACACAAGTTCTGCTGGTCTGGTTTTACAGAAGAGAAAGGTTTTGATAAGCTAATTAAATTCCTGTAGTTTATAAAGCCAATAAGCTAGAGTCTAGATTCAAAACTTTCAGTAGTTTGGGAGAATATTTTTATAAACTATGCCTCAGATAAGGAACTGATAACCAGAATACACAGGGAACTGAAGTGTCCTAACTGAGAAAGAAAAATTGATCAACCCAGTTAAAAGGGAAAATGAACTGAACAAGCAACTCTCTAAGGAAGACATAAGAACAGCCAAAAAACATGAAAAAATGTTCACCATCCCTCTTCATAAGGGAGATACGGATCAAAACCACAATGAGATACCACCTAACCCCAGTAAGAATGGAAATATTAAAAAAAAAAAAAAAAAGAAAAGCTAAGTGCTGGTGAGGCTGTAGTGAAAAGGAAACTCTCCTACACTGTTGGTGAGAATGTAAATTGGTCCATCCACTGTGGAGAACAATATATAGGTTCCTCAAAGATCTGAAAATACCCAGTATTTCCACTCCTGGGTATCTACCCAAAAGACAGGAGAATGCTCAGTTGGAAAAGTGCTTGCACATCTATATTTATTGCAGCAGTATTTACAATTCCAAGGACATGGGACCATCTCAAATGTTCACGAACAGACGATTAAAGCTAGGCTACAAAACATTAATCTGGATTTGTCTGTGCAACTATTCCTAATAGAAGTAGTGAAAGGGGAAAGAAAAGTAAGGTATGTGGGAGAATAAAAAGTTGTAGAGTACCCAATATTCCTCAAAGAAGAGTAAATGGGCAGGATTTGCTCATTGGATAATGAAACTTTCTATAAAGCTATGATAATTTTAATGGTGTGATAGTAGAGAATAAAAAGAGTAGAAAAAGAATCAGGGAGAAAGAACTGCAATTCAAGAAGCAGATTTACACATTTTTTTAGGGTGAAAGTAGCTAAATGTAAGGTATCCCCAAGTGGAAATTTAAGGAAAACTGACAAGGAGAAATGGTGATCCTATAAAGTTTCTTCTCCACACAAAGTGGGGTTTTGATTTATTTTGTTGTTTTAAAAGAGCTCGTTGTCTATGATAAACACTGATAGAGTGAAGGACGTAAAAGCCTTGAAAATAATGATGGACACTGGAGACAGCATGGAAGGAGGGTGGGAGAGGGTAAGTGTATAGAGAAGAAAATCAGCGGGGAGTACAGAGGCGAGACATTTGCGGGCACAGTGATGGTTTACCTGTTGATAACATGTATAGTATTCTCAACTGGACTGGTCTAAGGTGTATTTCAGGTTGGGTAAATTCTTTTACTTTGTAAGCCAAATGATGGATAAAGGTCAAACACATTCCATGACACAAGTTCTGCTGGTCTGGTTTTACAGAAGAGAAAGGTTTTGATAAGCTAATTAAATTCCTGTAGTTTATAAAGCCAATAAGCTAGAGTCTAGATTCAAAACTTTCAGTAGTTTGGGAGAATATTTTTATAAACTATGCCTCAGATAAGGAACTGATAACCAGAATACACAGGGAACTGAAGTGTCCTAACTGAGAAAGAAAAATTGATCAACCCAGTTAAAAGGGAAAATGAACTGAACAAGCAACTCTCTAAGGAAGACATAAGAACAGCCAAAAAACATGAAAAAATGTTCACCATCCCTCTTCATAAGGGAGATACGGATCAAAACCACAATGAGATACCACCTAACCCCAGTAAGAATGGAAATATTAAAAAAAAAAAAAAAAAGAAAAGCTAAGTGCTGGTGAGGCTGTAGTGAAAAGGAAACTCTCCTACACTGTTGGTGAGAATGTAAATTGGTCCATCCACTGTGGAGAACAATATATAGGTTCCTCAAAGATCTGAAAATACCCAGTATTTCCACTCCTGGGTATCTACCCAAAAGACAGGAGAATGCTCAGTTGGAAAAGTGCTTGCACATCTATATTTATTGCAGCAGTATTTACAATTCCTAGGACATAGGACGATCTGAAATGTTCACGAACAGACGATTAAAGCTAGGCTACAAAACATTAATCTGGATTTGTCTGTGCAACTATTCCTAATAGAAGTAGTGAAAGGGGAAAGAAAAGTAAGGTATGTGGGAGAATAAAAAGTTGTAGAGTACCCAATATTCCTCAAAGAAGAGTAAATGGGCAGGATTTGCTCATTGGATAATGAAACTTTCTATAAAGCTATGATAATTTTAATGGTGTGATAGTAGAGAATAAAAAGAGTAGAAAAAGAATCAGGGAGAAAGAACTGCAATTCAAGAAGCAGATTTACACATTTTTTTAGGGTGAAAGTAGCTAAATGTAAGGTATCCCCAAGTGGAAATTTAAGGAAAACTGACAAGGAGAAATGGTGATCCTATAAAGTTTCTTCTCCACACAAAGTGGGGTTTTGATTTATTTTGTTGTTTTAAAAGAGCTCGTTGTCTATGATAAACACTGATAGAGTGAAGGACGTAAAAGCCTTGAAAATAATGATGGACACTGGAGACAGCATGGAAGGAGGGTGGGAGAGGGTAAGTGTATAGAGAAGAAAATCAGCGGGGAGTACAGAGGCGAGACATTTGCGGGCACAGTGATGGTTTACCTGTTGATAACATGTATAGTATTCTCAACTGGACTGGTCTAAGGTGTATTTCAGGTTGGGTAAATTCTTTTACTTTGTAAGCCAAATGATGGATAAAGGTCAAATGTATAAATAATAATAATAATAATTAAAAGAGCTTGTTGACAGTAACAGTTAAAAGAAAGAATAGTTAAAAGAAATGTGGTAAGAGTTCTAATCTGCAGCCTAGAACTAGTTACATTACAAAGTGTAGGGCACTGCTTTCAGGACTGCCTTCACTTTTGACATCCACTGAAATTTTAGGGATTTTTTAAAACTACCTCCAGGTTAAATAATTCTCTAGAATGACACACAGAAGTCACAGAAAGCTATTACACTTATGATTATAGATTGTTACAAGAAAAGAATACAAACTAAAATCAGATAAAGGGATGCTTAAGGAAAAGCCTGTGTGCTTTCCAAACGTGAAGTATTGTCTTCTTGTAGACTCACAAGGCATACCCTCCTGGCATTCGTGTGTGGCAGGATGTATGGAGTCATATTGCCAACTAGGAATACTCACCCAAGTTTGGTGTCCAGAAATTTACTTAGGTTTTATTGAATAGGTATGCCTGCTTGACTGATTGCCTGAAAAAATGGTTGAACTCAGTTCCCAAGCTGACTAATGCCGCTTGACCCAAAACCTTCATACTAAGTTATACAGTTCTTTATGGTATGATCAGCCCCTCTATCCCTCCTTCCCCCAAGATCTAGTGTGATCTTTTTCCACTCTAAAGTAGATACTCCTGTTAAATATAATGTAGTTTACCTCTCAAAGTTCAAAAACAAAAGCCAGACCTATCTTTGGGCAAAGACAAAATCTTCATTAGACATCTGCTCATTCAGCACCAATGCTATTTCTATTGCTACTGTATCCAGGATTTTTACCTCATACTTCATCTAATGCTATCCTCAATTGTGAATTCAGGTCTTCCAATAATCAGGTTTTAGTTCAATTTTTTGAAATATGAAGCAGAGAGATAGAGAGAGAAAGAGAGACCAGCGACTGATTTCCATACTTAATCCTTTTTTATATCAGGGTGTGTGTGCAGTTACTTTAAGTATAAAGGACTTATTACTCTATCCTTCTTTGCCTACCTTCTTTTGTCACAGTATCACTCACTATATCACTATGAAGGCAGTCCATATAGAAAAAAGAAAACATATAGAAAAGAAAATATTTCTCTCTACATATTCTTATATATAGGAAAAAGAAATAAAAGCATAGCATATGTAATATTATGAGCTCTGTGACATGAGATAGAATCCTCATTTCTGTTTTTACTGGCTTTGCAACATTAGGGAAGTTACATGATATTATGAGTTTCAGTTTCCTCTAGAAATAAACCTAGTAATATCTAATTCAGATTGTTATTGGGTAGGATCAATGACATCATATATGCCTAAAATATTGGCTACACAGTACCTATTTTTTCTATTCTACTTCTTTTCATTTACTTCTCCTTTTACTTCTACTAGATCACCAATATGTGACCTTCTATGTTTTAATTCATTTTGTGAATGTAAATTCTAACCTTAAGCACACATTTATGTAAAACAGCTTGATGGTACTTTGGTACTGTGCTGCTCAAGTGAAGCTGGATCCATGGAAGACCAGTGAATTTGGTTCCCTGCACATGTTGGGTGCACTCTCTCATGATCTTGGTTGGCTAGGAAGGATACGAATGGGCAGGATTGCAGCAGGAGACTCTGATGATGGTGCTTCTCTCTCTCTCTCTGTCTCTCTCCCCCTTTACCCCCCTCTGTTTTCATGCAAGAAAAAAAAAAAAAGAAAACACTTAAGAAAGAAAAATAGAAGCAAAACCAAACTTTAGGCAGACACCGCACGGTCTTACCGATCACAAACACTTACCAAGACTACTTCCTGTGTCTTAGGGAGTTATATAACAACCAAACATTGTTTGACAGACATATAAATGGTTT